CTCATGGCTGCTCCTGTGAGCACAAGCTGGTGTCCCCCTTTGTGGTGGAGACTGAGGCTCAGAAAAGTTCGCTCTCCAAAAGGGTGCCCTGCCATCGGCCGCTGTGGGCAGGCTGGGCTCTGGGCCCATCCTGGCTGGTGCGTCTGTGCTCCAAGCAGACACCGGGGCTCTGGCTGGGTCTCCTGGCCTAGGTGTTTCCTACGGTCCTGTGTGCCGGGAGCCTAGAGTGAGTGGGTCAGGCAATGTCCCCTGCCGAGGTTTCCTTCAAGGCTCCCTGGGAGCCAGAGGCGTGGCAGGTCCGCCCATGGCCTCAAGGTTCATTGTGCAGGAGGAGTTGAGGCCATCTGGGCCTGGGCCCCATTGCTTTGAGATGTATGAGATACATACACCCTTCCCTCTACAAACGAGGGGTCACGCCCCAGGCTGGACCACAGATGGGGAAACTGAGGCTCAGTGAGGTGGCTGGCCCCTTGGCACCGTATCATCTGAGATCACCTTGCAGAGCAGTGGGCAGGGGGACTCTGGCAGTGTCAATCCCACCCCACTTCTGAGGAGGTGACCTTGTGTGGTCCTGCCCAAGGTGGGAGTGATGGGCAGGCATGGGGGCTGGAGTGGCTGACCCTGCCTGCCTGTGTCTGCCTGTGTCTCCAGGACAGTGGCTACCCGGAGACACTGGTCAACCTCATTGTCCTGTCCCAGCACCTGGGCAAACCCCCTGAGGTAAGTGGCCCCCAGGGCTCCAGGCCAACCCTAATATCCTGACCCCGGGACCTCATCCTGGGGTCCAGGCCCTAATCCCTAGGCTTCTGGGAAAGCTCTGCACACAATGTGCCCACCGCAGCCTGCCTCCCTCACAAACCCTGCGCCCCCCCCAACCCATCCTCACCTGGGGCCCTGCCCGACCTGCTCCCCTGAACCCACGGTACCTTCCCCACCATGTACAGAGGCCAGCTCCGTGCCAGCGCCTTGTCAGGGGCCGACCCATCCCTCCACCCCCACCCTGAAGGTTCTCTGAGATCAGCCCAGTCCCAAGGCAGGATGAGGAGCGCCCTGGGGTACTGTGGCTCTCACCCCCATCCATCCCGTGCTGCAGGTCAGAGCCACCCTGGGGTCCCCATGTTCGACTCACCTGCCTTCCTGCCTCCCCTGCAGGTGACAAACCGATACCTGTCCCAGCTGAAGGACGCCCACAGGTCCCATCCCTTCATCAAGGAGTACCAGGCCAAGGTGAGTGGCAGGGGTGGCCTGTCCCTGAGAGCCAGGCCAGACGGCGCCTGGAGCTCAGCCTGGGCTCACATGCGCCCTCTCTCTCTCTCTCCCTCCACCCGTCTGCCCACACCCTGCCCCCACCCCGTGTCGCCATGTGTCTTGCTGAAGGAGAACGACTTTGACAGGCTGGTGCTACAGTACGCTCCCAGCGCCTGAGGCTGGCCCAGAGCTGTCAGGACCACGAAGCCAGGACAGAGGCCAGGAGCCCTGCAGCCCTCCCCGCCTGGCACACACCCCACATCCCCTCTGGGGGCAGGAGCCCGCCCCCAGCACTCCCATCTGTGAATAAATATCTCAACGCCAGCGTGTTCCCACCTGAGGATGTGCTCTGGCCACTTTGCTGGGGGTGTGTGGGGGCTGACGCTCAGGGAGAGTCCCGGGGCACTGGCCCCCAGGGCTGTTCCCGGAGACCAGGGTCTGTGATGAGCAGCAGCTGTGCAGACCCCCACCCCGCCCCTCACACAGCCACAACCTGCTCCTGCCAAGCCAGAGGCAGCACAGCCCTGTCCCCACACTTCATCCTGGCCCCGAGAGGCCACTGAGCAGCCCAGGTTGGCATCGGGGGAAACTGAGGCACAGAGCAGTCATGCCACTATCATGAGGGGCACCAAGATTCAAAATGAGAACCCCCGAGTGGTCTGGAGGTAGTGGGGGCCAGGGCAGGAAGCACTCAGGCCTCAGCTCAGCAAAGCTGGAGGGGCCCTGCGGGGTCAGCATTAACCCCGGGAAACCCTCCTCCAAGGCAGAGCCCTGCTGTGGCCGGGGCCCCGGGGCCAAGCACCCAGCTGCGATGAGAGGTGGCTGCACCATAGGGAGGGAGGTGGGTGGGTGGCAGCGGGGCTGACTAGAGCCTCCCAGATGAAGTCACCATTGAGCTGTGTCTACCCGAACAACAAAAAGGAGCTGCCAGGCTAAGTTCTGGGGGGACAGGCACCCCAGCAGTGGGCATGACTGGCACAGAGGTTCCTCGGTGGCACAGGGCTGTGAGGTCAAGGGGCGCTGGATGGGGATGCATGCCCTTTGACCTCTGAGCCTGGCCTGGGCTTATCTCCCAGGGTTTCCCCAAGCCCCACCCAGGCCTATTCATTTGAAACCGGACCCTGTCTCCCGTTGCCAGGGCAGGACAGCAAGCGACCCCACCCCCAGCCTGGTAGGGGAGGGAAGTGGCAAAAGAGGACTCCCTGGGCAGGGACATTAGGAGGGGTCCAGGCCGAGCTTCCTGGAGGGAGGAGACCTTGGGGTGGGTGCGGGGACACTGGCCTGAAGACTGACCTCCGCCCAGCCTTGGGTGCCTGGTCCCCAGCTGCCAGCAGAGCCGCCTTCCATTCCTGCCCTGCACCCACCCATTGGCAGCCTCCTGGCTGGACCCGCCAAAAAGAAATTCGAGGCTGAGCTGGGGCCAGTGGGTGGGTGGGTGGCGCCTCTCCCATGACCGATGGGCGCCATGGTGACCAGATAATGCTGGCTGAGAGGGTGGAGGGAGGTGACTGGGACTGTCCACGGCTGCCCCGCAGGCCTGGCTGGACCTATGAGAGCACATCCCCCTTGTCCCCCTCTGCCTGCCAGGCAGGTTGTGGCGTTAGTCACATCTCTGGCCTCCAGCTGGACCTGAACTATTGGCCAGGCCAGGCCTCATGCCCCCCACACAGTAGGCCCCCAGTCCATATGGAGTCCACATTCAAGAATAAGGAGTGGGGCCATGTGCAGTGGCTCATGCCTGTAATCCCAGCACTGGGAGGCCAAGATGGGCAAATCACTTGAGGTCAGGAGTTCGAGTCCAGCCTGGCCAACATGGCGAAACCCTGTCTCTACTGAAAATACAAAAATTAGCTGGGTGTGGTAGCAGGCGCCTGTAATCCCAGCTACTCGGGAGACTGAGGCAGGAGAATCGCTTGAACCCGGGAGGTGAAGGTTGCAGTGAGCTGAGATTGCACCACTGCACTCCAGTCCAGACAACGGAGCGAGACTCCAACTCAGAAAAAAAAGAATAAGGAGGAGCTCTATGTATGTAGGGGCAGATGGTGACAAGTGCCAAGCAGACATGAGGGGTGTGTGGGACTTCAGATTCGGTGGCAGCCTAAGCAGGCGACAGAAGAGCCATGCTGGTACCTAGGGGAACAGCATTTCCGGGGATGGGGGGGATCAGCTAGTGCAAAGGCCCTGAGGCAGGACAGAGCTTGGCATGTTGGAAGAACAGCAAGAAAGCCCACAGATGGCGGGAAACAGGGCGCTGTGAGGGCGGCCGGTGAGGACTTGGGCTTTCCCTGAGCAGGATGGGAGTCACGGAGGGCTGCAAACAGAGGAGGAACAGGCCCAACGTTGTCACAGCCTCCTTCTTGCCTCCATGGGGAGAGGAGGAAGCCAGGATACCTGACAGAACCCCGGAGGGTAGTGGTGGTCGGGGTTGGGGGCAAGGCTGTGCAGATGCAGAGAAGTAGCCAGATGCAGGGCCACCTGGATGTGTTGCAGAGGACTGGGTGTGGGGCAAAGGGAAGGTGTGTTCCCCTGTGCCCCTGAAGGTCAGGTACAGGTGTGTGGGAGACAGCGCGGCTGCTGCAGCACTCATCCCTGCATCCTGCACCTTGAAGGCCAGGTGTGGGGACATCCTGGGGGCTAGGATTGCGGGGTGAGTGCAGCAGTGCCTGGGGAGGTGGCGGTCCTAACAGAGGTGACCCATATCTTCCTTGATGGCCTTCAGGGGCTTTGGGCACAGGGCCTTGTCAATGAACGGTGCATTGGAAAGTCACTTATGGTGGTCCCAATGATGTCATAGTCAATCCAGATTGGGAGTCTCTCCCGCGTTGGCACCCACTCCTGCAGCCTCTCTGCAACTCCTGTATTAACCTGATGTTGGGGAGGCCCCTGGGGTTCCCCAGGGTCACAGAGCAGCAAGTGACCCTCAGAGAACCTCCTAATCTCAGCAACCCCCATTACACCTTTGTCACAGTAGCCGGCTCTGCAGACCTCCAGAAGAAGATGCCTGGGAAGTGCCCAGGGTCCCCGCGTCCAGGCTGGAACCCCATTGTCAAGCTCCTGGTGTAGGGCAGAGGGCTGCGTCTCCACTAGGTGCGCTTCCCAACGCCCTGGCGTGGGCCGTTTTCTTTTGAAGAATGAGAATGTTTCATTGAGGCTACGCCTCCTGAATGCAGGAAGGCCACGGGATGGTCCCAAGACTGTGCCAAGGCGTGCCAGGCCTCGGGTCCTTGAGGAGCAGCGAGGGCTCTGAGAACGGTGAGGTCCGAGCCGGCCGCGGCGATGGAGCGGGAGCGGCGTGGCGTGCTGGAGGACCGGGAGGAGCAGGAGTCGCCGGCCGAGGGGACTGCCTGCTAGTGTCCCCCGTGCCCCCCGTCACGGGCACAGCGTGGTGGGGTGGGGGAGCCGGGGTCGCGTGGGGCAGGCATGGGGGCGCGACACGGCGGTGTGCGGAGTTTCTCGGGGTCCAGGTCAAACGGGCCCCCAGCCAGCTCCGGCCCCCGCCTCCCCGTGCCTCGGTTTTTCTGCTGGGAAACGGGCAGGGGCGCGGGCCCGCCTTCAGGGCGCCCCACGTCCCCGCTGGCCGCCCCCCAGCCGCGCCCCCAGCGGGGCGGAGCTTGCGCCGGTCCCGCCCCTCCGCCCTCCGCTCTCCCGCCCGCGCGCCCCCGGCCCAGCTGCGGCGCGTGACGCGGGGCGCGCGGCTCCGGCGGCTACCGCGGGCGGGCGCAGGCGAGGGGGACGGCGGGCGAGCGGGCGGCATGGCGGCGGCGGAGCCCGTGGCGGGGCCGACGGGGCCCGAGCCCATGCCAAGCTACGCGCAGCTAGTGCGGCGCGGCTGGGGCAGCGCGCTGGCGGCGGCGCGGGGCTGCACGGACTGCGGCTGGGGGCTGGCGCGTCGCGGCCTGGCTGAGCACGCGCACCTGGCGCCGCCCGAGCTGCTGCTGCTGGCGCTCGGCGCTCTGGGCTGGACCGCGCTGCGCTCCGCGGCCACCGCGCGCCTCTTTCGGGTCAGTGTGGCGGGGGTCCGGGACGAGGGGACCCCGTACTGGGGGAAGCCGGGACCGGGGACCTCGGGCCGCCGGCGCGTTCCTTTCTTCCATTGCTGGCTGCTGCGGATGAAGGGGTCGCCGAAACGTGGGTGGGGGCCTCGGGCTGGAGAGGCCCAGGACGTTGAAGCCCCGGGACAGGGTCTCTCGGGCCGCCTCGTGCCCCCTTCAGTCAGTGCGGCGTGGGGGAACCGGGTGGATGCGGGGGTGTGGCCGGGCTGGGGTGAGTCTGGGACATGGGGGGCCCGAGACAGGTGGGATGTTTGAGACGTGAGGGACCGAGGCACGGCCCTTTCCGGTCAGTTTGGGACCAGGGGGCCCCGCGCAGTGGATGGCTCCGGCCACCAAGCGCTCTTTCCGGCAGGGCCGAGCCAGACACTGAGAAGACCAGGACCGGGAAAGGGAGGGCTCGGCGCACCGCGGCCTGCGCCATGCGCGTCCCTGCCATGCGGGCTGCGCCCTGGCCCTGAGCGAGGTCCGCTGCCCGTTTTCTGCGGGGTCCGTGCGGCGGCGGGGCCGGCTTGGCCGCTGCAATCGGGAAGAGGCAGGAGCTGCCCGGTCGCTGCCTTGTGCCTGTCTGAGGTCAGCGCCACCCTCCGACCAGGGATGGCAAAGGCCTGGGCGATCTGGCCACTCCAGTGGTCGTTCCCTTGGAGCCCAGGGCTTCAGGGTTGGACTATGCTGCCTCCAAGAGGCGACAGCAGAATTCCCCAGTTTCTCCTGAGACCATCACCCCTGCTGGGGAGTGACCATGGTGGTGACATTGGCGCCTGATCCCTCTCCCTTCCCTGGGGAGGGGTCGCTGTGGCAGGAGCTGGTTGGAAGGTGTCTGGGCCTTTAGCTTGGCCTGGACACCCCCGTGGACCAGCTGGTGTCACCCCGCCCGTCTGGCTGGAGGGTTCAGGGACAGTGTGCCCAGCGCCAACAAAGGGGCCTTTCTCTGCTGGCCGGGAAGAGGCTGGCCCTTGTGAGGTCGAGGATGGGCTGTTGTCTGACTGCCACTCTCCCCACTCCCTTCCCCATATCACCCACATGGGGGAGAGACCCCAGCCACCCCCTTGCTGTGGAAGGGGGAGACAGGGCTGTCCAGGGCCCCTTCCTGGGTCCGCAGTGGTCTTTATCCTGCTTGTTGCCCCTGCCTTCTTCCCCATTTCCAGCTGGGAAACCCGAGGCCCAAGAGGGCATGCGGCCCCCCACCCCCATGGGACAGGAGGATGTGGCCGCTGGTAGACTACCAGGGCGGAGCCCGGGGGCTCTCCCCAGCTTGGGTGGGGTGCTCGCCCCATTTCGAGGTTCGCCCTTCCTCAAGAATGGGTGGAGGGGCTGCCGGGTGCTCCAAAGCTCATCTTCTTGGCAGCAGCCTGGTTGCCAGGGGTTACCGGAGCGGGCTCCAGCTGTCTCCATGACAACTGCTGGGTGCTCTGGGCTCCGGCCCCCTCAGCCTCTGGGAAGGGGGCGGGACTTGTCCAGGGGCGGGGCTTGGCCGGGCAGCTCTGGAGCCCCGCCCCCAGGGAGCTTGACCCCCCCCCTACCCACCGGACTCCCTAACCCCTGCCTTGGAGCCAGCAGCTTCCTCTGCACTCCCTTTGCCCCCTCAGGGTCATAGCTCGCCTGTGACACCTTTTCCGCGTCCTGTCCCCTCTTTCTCCCTCCAGCCCCTCCTCCCCTTTCATCGTCCCCAAGTTCCCATGTCCCCACCACACCTTCCCCCAAGTCTCTCCCAGCCCTCTAGACTCCGGTCTCTCCAGATTCCCCCACTGAGGGGGCGACTTCCTCACAAGTTCTTCCTCTCCCCTCTGTGTCGGTCCCATGGGGCTCCCTGTGTTTCCCAAGATGCCCCCATATAACCCCTCCATGTTCCCTTCATGGGTCACCCCTACCAGCCCAACTTCCTTGGGCTGAGGCATCCATCTGTCTCCCTCACCGTAAGCCCAAGTGTCCCCCTCCCGGCCCTCAGAGCCCTCCTGCTCCCCTCCTCTCCCCTCGGAGCCTCCTCCCTCACTCCCCTCCCAGCACCGCCCCAGCCGGACAGCTGGGCACTAAGTTTAGCCTTGGCAGGTGCCTGTGGGCTCTGTTTATGCTCCAGGTGGCTGTGGGCATGGGGGATGGGCCTTCCCAGTGCTGCCCGGCCAGGGGAGTCCCTGGGCTTCAGTTTCCCCACCCTGGAGGAGTCATCTCTGGCCCCCAGCACCAATGGCTGCCCGCCCGTCTTCTCCCCCATAGCCCCTGGCGAAGCGGTGCCACCTCCAGCCCAGAGATGCCGCCAAGATGCCCGAGAGTGCTTGGAAGTTTCTCTTCTACCTGGGCAGCTGGAGCTACAGTGCCTACCTGCTGTTTGGCACCGACTACCCCTTCTTCCACGACCCACCATCTGTCTTCTACGGTAGGGGCCCTGAGGGGATGGCCGGGAGGGCTCTGCTTAAAACACAAAGACACGAGGCAGTGACAGGTGCTTGTTGTCCCAGCTACTCATGAGGCAGAAGCAGGAGGATCGCTGGAGCCCAGGAGTTGGAGGCCAAGGGAAGCTATGAGCACGCCACTGCACTCCAGTGTGGGAGACAGAGTGAGACCCTGTCTCTTATCAAAAGAGAAAAAGAGGGCCGGGCGTAGTGGCTCACGCCTGTAATCCTAGCACTTTGGGAGGCCAAAGTGGGTGGATTACGAGGTCAGGAGATTGAGACCATCCTGACTGACACAGTGAAATTCCATCTCTACTAAAAATACAAAAAAAATTATTCGGGTGTGGTGGTGGGCGACTATAATCCCAGCTACTTGGGAGACTGAGGCAGGAGAATCGCTTGAACCCGGGAGGCGGAGGTTGCAATGAGCTGAGATCTTGCCACTGCACTCCAGCCTGGGTGACATTTCCAAAAAACAAAAAAAAGATGATGAGAATGAGAAGTGGGCTGGGCTCACTGGCTCACACCTGTAATCCCAACACTTTGGGAGGCAGAGGTAGGAGGATTACTTGAGCACAAGAGTTCAAGAGCAGCTGGGGCAACATGGTGAGACCTCCATCTCTACAAAAAATTAGCCTGGTGTGGTGGGACACGTCTGTAGTACCAGCTACTTGGGAGGCTGAGGTGGGAGAATTGCTTGAACCCAGTAGGTGGAGGTTGCAGTGAGCTGAGATCATGCCACTGCACTCTAGCCGGGGCAACAGAGCGAGACCCTTTCTGGGGAAAAAAAAAAAGATGACAAGAAGTGGCTGTGTCCAATTGATTGGAATGGATGTGGCCTGAGTTCTGGGTGGGGTGGGCTGGGCAGGGAGGTGACTGTGGCATGCTTTCTGTGACCTGTCCTGGCAGAGAATGCAGAGCAGGGTCGGCATCGCCACTGGACAGGCTGATGGAGGAAACCCCATCTGTAATGGGGGCAGAGGGGGCTGCAGCTTCTCTGCCCTGTGAGGACCACCAGGGCTGTGGGCCAGGGACACACGGGATAGCTGTTTCCTGCCATGCGATGGCAACAGCCTAGAGGGCTCCTGGTGGCACAGAGCCCAGAGTGTACAGTGGATGTGCCACCTATGGGGCCACTTTTCCCATGCAACACCTTGATCGCCTAGAGGGGAGGTGTTAGCTGTTGCTCAGTTTTCCTTTTAGACGAATGACCCATGATTGAACTCTCCTAACTTCTTTTTTTTCTGAGACAGTCTCACTCTGTCACCCAGGCTGGAGTGCAATGGCACGGTGTCGTCTCACTGCATCCTCCACCTCCCAGGTTCAAGGGATTCTCCTACCTCAGCCTCCTGAATAGCTGGGATTACAGGTGTGCACCACCACACTTGGCTAATTTTTGCATTTTTAGTAGAGACGAGGTTTCACCACGTTGGCCAGGCTGGTCTCAAACTCCTGACCTCAGGTGATCTGCCCGCCTCGGCCTCTAAAAGTGTCGGGATTATAGGCATGAGCCACCATGCCCGGCCTCTCTTAACATTTCGGGCATGGAGTTGCCTCTAGCTGCTGCTTCTTTTTTTTTTTTTTAATTCAGACGGTCTTATTCTTTTGCTCAGGCTGGAGTACAGTGGCGCAATCACGGCTCACTGCAGCCTTGACTTCCTGGGCTCAAGCAATCCTCCCACCTCAGCCTTCTGAGTAGCTGGGACCACAGGTGTGCGCCACTACCCCCAGTGAATTTTTTTTGTATTTTTTGGTAGAGATGGGGTCTCACTAAGTTGGCCAGGCTGGTCTGGAACTCCTGGCCTCAAGCGGTCCACCCACCTCAGCTTCCCAAAGTGCTGGGATTACAGGCGTGAGCCACCTCGCCCAGCCTTAGTTGCTTTTTGGAAGTGATACTCACAAGTTAGCTGATTATTTCCATGTTCATTTATTGAGCGCCTACTGTATGCCAGAGCTGAGACACAGCTAGGAATGGTCAGAGAAAGCCCTGTGCCCTCATGAAGCTGGCCGTGTGGCAGGGGCGACAGACAGTGAAGTACACAGTCAGTCAACATCAGTAAGTGTGGATGAGAAAACTTGCGTGGAGAGAAGAGGCAGTGTGCTGTGTTGGGGAGGTGGGGAGGGGCAGTTTTTAGCAGGGATGGGGTGGTCCCACTGAAGGGGACTGAGTGAGGGCCTGGAGGTGCCTGGGGCAAGCAGGAGCGGCAGGGACTTCTGTTCAGGTGAATGGAGGCCATGCCTTCCAGGCCTCGGAGGCCACCGTCAGGTTTCGTTACTTACCTGTGGGCTGGGAGCAGAGGAGGGATGTCACCCCGGGTTGGGCATCTACCCCAGGGGTCCAGGAGGGGGCTGACAGCAGGAGCTGGAGCCCGAAGGGACTCCCACCAGGATTGAGCTGAGGGGAGGGGATGGGAGCAAAGTGACCAATTTTAGAAACGTTTAGAAGGCAGAGCTAATAGTATTTGCTACCACCCTAGAGGTGGTGTGAAGGGAAGAGGGTGAGGATGATGCTAGGGTCTTGTGAGATGGGGGCTGACTGGGGAGACCAAGATTCTGGATTCGGGGATGGAGACAAGGCAGGGATTGCATTGAGTGACCCAACAGTAGGTGGGACACGAGTATGAAGAGGTGGGACAGGCCAGGCGCGGTGGTCACTCCTGGAATCCCAGCACTTTGAGAGGCCAAGGTGGGAGGATCACTTGAGTCCAGGAGTTCGAGACCAGCCTTGGGAATATAGTGAGACGCCATCTCTACAAAAAATAAAAAAATAAAATTAGCTGGATATGGTGGCGCGTGCCTGTGGTCCCAGCTCCTGGGGATGCTGAGGCGGGAGGATTGCTTGAAGCTGGGAGGTCGAGGCTGCAGTGAGCCAAGATTGCACTACTACATTCCAGCGAGGGTGACAGAGTGAGGCCCTTTCTCAAAAAACAAAAGGAGGGAGAGGAGATTTGAGACCCCTGAACTAAGCCAGGACATCCCCCCTATCCTGTGGGGAGGTAAGTCTACAGGAGGGGTGGGGGGGCCTCTGTTGGAAAGGTGGGCAACAGATCCAGCGAGGTGGCCAGGGGCGAAAGCTCAGGCTCGGATGTTTCTGGAGAGTCAGGATGCAGAGGATCAGGGCATTTCAGAGTTTCACCCAATTTTTCTTTTTCTTTTTCTTTCTTTTTTTTTTTTGATGGAGTCTGGTTCTGTCGCCCAGGCTGGAGTACAGCAGTGCCATCTCGGCTCACTGCATGCTCCGCGTCCCGGGTTCACGCCATTCTCCTGCCTCAGCCTCCTGAGTAGCTGGGACTACAGGCGCCTGCCACCGCGCCTGGCTAGTTTTTTTTTGAGATGGAGTCTCGCTCTGTTGCCCAGGCTGGAGTGCAGTGGCACCATCTCAGCTCACTGCAACCTCCACCTCCTGGGTTCAAGCGCTTCTCCTGCCTCAGCCTCCCGAGTAGCTGGGACTACAGGTGTGCATCACCATGTCTGGCTAATTTTTGTATTTTTAGTAGAGACGGGGTTTCACCATGTCGGCCAGGCTGGTCTTGAACTTCTGACCTCAAGTGATCCACCCACCTTGGCCTCCCAAAGTGCTGGGATTACAGGCGTGAGCCACCTCAGTTGGCCTGCATTTTTTATTGAGGTAAAATTTACATAACTTGAAATTAGGCATTTTAGCCTATCACAAAAAGACAAATACTATGTAATTCCACTTATATGAGGTTCCTAGAGTCATCCCACTCATAGAGACAGAAAGTGGGCTGGGGGCCTGCCAGGGGCTGGGGGAGGGGGATGGGGAGAGACTGTTTAATGGGGACAGAGTTTCTGTTGGGGAAGAGGAGATTGTTATGGAGATGACTGCTGGTGATGGTTGCACAACAATGTGTACTTAACAGATGGCTTAGATGATAAATTTTTGCCATATAAATCTGCCACATTTTTTTTTTTTTTTGAGACGGAATTTCTCTCTTGTTGCCCAGGCTGGAGTGCAATGGCACGATCTCGGCTCACTGCAACCTCCGCCTTCCGGGTTTAAGCGATTCTCCTGCCTCAGCCTCCCGAGTAGCTGGGATTACAGGCAGGCGCCACCATGCCCAGCTAATTTTGTATTTTTAGTAGAGATGGGGTTTCTCCATGTTGTGTGGTCTTGAACTCATGACCTCAGGTGATCTGCCCACCTCGTCCTCCCAAAGTGCTGGAATTACAGGCGTGAGCCACTGTGCCCGGCCCACAATTTAAAAAAAAAATTAACCATTTTATTTTAAGTATTTGTTTATTTTTCTTTGAAACGGAGTCTCGCTCTGTTGCCCAAGCTGGAGTACAATGGCACAATCTCAGCTCACTGCAACCTTCACCTCCTGGGTTCAAGTGATTCTCCTGCTTCAGCTTCCCGAGTAGCTGGGATTACAGGCATGCGCCACCACGCCCAGCTAATTTTTGTATTTTTAGTACAGACTGGGTTTTGCCATGTTGGCCAGGCTGGTCTCCAACTCCTGACCTCAGGTGATCCACCTGCCTCCGCCTCCCGGCCAAAAATTAACGATTTTAAAGCAAATAGTTCATCAGATTTTAGTCCATTCACAGTGTTGTTCAACCACCTCCTCTGTCTAGTTCTGGAACATTATTATCCCCCACAAAAGGAAACCCCATCCCCATTAGCAGTCACTCACCAGTCCTCTACCCCAGCCCCTGGCAGCCACCAATCTGCTTCCTGTCTCTGTAGCTTTCCCTGTTCTGGGCATTTCAGATCACTGGAGTCTCACACTGTGTGACCTTTTGTGTTTGATTTCTCTTACTCAGCATCATGTTTTTGGGATTCACCCACATTGTAGCATGGATCAGTGCTTCATTCTTTTTCATGGGTGCATAGTATTCCACTGTGTGGAGGTAACCTATCTATTCGTCATTCATCCATTGATGCACATTCGGGTTGTGTCTGCCTTTTGGTTGTGTGCTGCTGTGGACAGGGTATCTCTTTGAGTCCTTGTTTTCCATTCTCAACCCTAGTGGACTTGCTGGGTCATAGCGACCGTTTGTGTATACACGGCCATCAGGGCTGAGTGAGGATAGTGGACAAACAGTCACGGGGGCCAGGGATCGCTGGGGAGATGTGGGCAGGAGACAGCAGTGCCTGGACCGGGGTGGGGGTGGCACTGACCAAAGAGGGGACCCTGGATGGGGGTCCTAGCATAACTCGGCTGCAGAAGGGGTGAGGCTGAGATGAAAGTTGTCGCAGAGGCGATTCATGGGGGCATCTGGAGGCAGCTGGGCTGCAGGGCAGGTCACCAAGGCAGGGGCCAGGAAGCCGCAGATGGAGGCTGGAGGGTCCGTCCTGGGGGTCTGCAGAAAGGGAGTGGCTAGAGAACAGGGAGCAACCCAGAGAGTTCCAGGTTGGTGTGGGCAGAGCACAGCATGGCTTTCTGCTGTTTTTGTTGTTGTTGTTGTTTGTTTGTTTTTTTGTTTTTTGAGACAGAGTCTGACTATGTCTCCCAGGCTGGAGTGCGGTGGCAACATCTCAGCTCTCGCCACCATCTCTGCCTCCCTCCAGGCCTCAAGTGATCCTGCCACCTCAGCCTCCCGAGTAGCTGGGACTACAGGCATACAACGCCTCACCCGGCTAATTTTTATATATTTTTTTGCAGAGACAGCGTCTCGCCATGTTGTCCAGGCTGGTCTCGAACTCCTGGACTCAAGCAGCTCTCCTGCCTTGGCCTCTCAAAGTGCTGGGATTACAGGCATGAGCCACTGTGCCTGTCCAGAGCATAGCCCTTGACTTTAGTGTCTGGCAGTCCTGGGGATGTGGCTGAGGAGAGGAGGAGGGGGACGTGGTGGGGTGGGCTGGGATGTCCCCCATGACCTGAGTGTGGGGGTCAGGTGCACCAGGAAGCAGGAGGAGGGGAAGGTGAGGCAGGACCTGCTTGGTGGGAGACCCCGCGCTTGGCGGCATGGTGCGCCCGGGCACGGCAAGACTCCGTGGGCAGCCGCCTCTGTCAGGGCCGGGGATTTGCAGGGAGTGGGCCCAGATCACCCACAAGGCAGGGGCCTGTTAAGGTAAAGATGGGAAGGGGGCCGGGCGCGGTGGCTCATGCCTGTAATCCCAGCACTTTGGGAGGCCGAGGCGGGCAGATCACCTGAGGTCAGGAGTTCAAGACCAGCTTGGCCAACATGGTGAAACCCTGTCTCTACAAAAAAAAAAAAAAAAAATTAGCCAGGCATGGTAGTGGGTGCCTATCATCCCAGATACTCTGGAGGCAGGAGAATCACTTGAACCCAGGATATGGAGGTTGGAGTGAGCCGAGACCCCACCACTGCGCTCCAGCCTGGGCTACAGAGCAAGACTCCACCTCAAAAAAAAAAAAAAAAAAAAAAGAGGAAAACAGGAAGGGGTGCTGGGCTGGGCGAGGTGGTGGGTGCCTATAATCCCATCACTTTGGGAGGCCAAGGCAGGAGGATTGCTTAAGCCCAGAAGTTCAAGACCAGCCTGGGAAACATGGCAAGATTCTGTCTGTACAAAAATTACAAAAGAAATAAATTATCCAGGCATGGTGATGGGTGCCTATGGTCCGAGCTACTACTCAGGAGGCTGAGGTGGGAGGATCACTTGAGTCCAGGCGGTCGAGGCTGCAGTGAGCTATGATCACACCACTGTACTCCAGCCTGGGTGACAGAGCAAGACCATCTATTTAAAAATATATATAAAATTTAAAATGTATATAATGATGATAATGTGTCTATAATAGTTCAGCATTTGTAGCAAATATGCCACTTAAAGCCAGGGAAATGGGAATCTGTGGGTATGCTGGGGCAGAAGAGAGAAAGGAACTTTCTGTCCTATCTGCACAGTTTTTCTAGAAACACAAAACTCTTCCTAAAATAAAAATCCCTCCAGGCTGGGCGCAGTGGCTCACGCCTGTAATCCCAGCACTTTGGGAGACCAAGGCGGGTGGATCACCTGAGGTCAGCAGTTCGGGTTCAGTCTGTCCAACATGGCGAAAGCCTGTCTTTACTAAAAATACAAAAAAATTAGCTGGGCGTGGTGTCCGGTGCTTGTAATCCCAGCTACTCTGGAGGCTGAGGCAGGAGAATCACTTGAACCTGGGAGGTGGAAGTTGCAGTGAGCTGAGATAGTGCCACTGCACTCCAGCCTAGTGACAGAGCGAGACTCTGTCTCAAAAAACAACAACAAAAACAACAACAAAAAAATGGCCGTGCACGGTGGCTCACACCGGTGTAAGGCGCGCCCAGCATTTGGGAGGCCGAGGCAGGTGAATCATGAGGTAGGAGATCGAGACCATCCTGGCTAACACGGTGAAACCCCCTCTAGAAAATAACAAAAAATTAGCCCAGGCTTGGTGGCGTGGCCTGTAGTCCCAGCTACTCAGGAGGCTGAGGCAGGAGAATCATTTGAATCCAGGACGTGGAGGTTGCAGGGAGCTGAGTGAGATCCGGCGCAACTGCACTCAACTGCACTCCAGCCTGGATGACAGAGGGAGACTCCTTCTCAAAAATAATAATAACAAGGCCGGGCGCGGTGGCTCAAGCCTGTAATCCCAGCACTTTGGGAGGCCGAGACGGCCGGATCACGAGGTCAGGAGATCGAGACCATCCTGGCTAACACGGTGAAACCCCGCCTCACTAAAAAAATTACAAAAAACTAGCCGGGCAAGGTGGCGGGCGCCTGTAGTCCCAGCTACTCGGGAGGCTGAGAAATGGAGAATGGCGTGAACCCGGAAGGCGGAGCTTGCAGTGAGCTGAGATCCGGCCACCTGCACTCCAGCCTGGGCGGCAAGCGGACTCCTCTCAAAAAAAAAAAAAATAAATAAATAAATAATAATAATAATAACAATAATTGGGAATGGAAAGCCAGCAGTCAGACACGCATGTTACCCAGGTACTGGGAGGACACGTGTGCTTGGAGGGTGTCACTGGGTCATGGTGGGGTTGTCTAGAGGCTTCTCAGGCCCCTGACTGGCGAGATTTGGCTCTCCCCAGACGGGACGCCGGGCATGGCCGGTGCCGCGGGACATCGCAGCCGCCTACCTGCTCCAGGAAGCTTCTATGGCCACTCCATCTACGCCACGCTGTACATGGGACACCTGGCGCAAGGACTCGGTGGTCATGCCTGCTCCATCACGTGGTACTCTCATCCTCATCGTCTCCTCCTACGCCTTCCGGTAAGGACAGGATTGGGTGGCAGGGGCCGAGGCACAGCCCACACAGTGCGGAGCGGCTGATGGATGTTGCCGGCGGGCAGAGGCGGCCATGGAGGGGATCACATCAGGTCGGAGTGCTCAGGGGTCCGACGAGGGCACAGGCCAGAGGGAGGAAGGCCGAGGAGGGAATGTGGGCCTGGAGATTCCGGAGGGAGATTCCGCAGGGATGAGTGAAACAGGCCCTGAGAGCCACAGCCACCCACCCACCCACCACAGGCTCCTCCAACGCTGCCTCTGACCAACCAGGTCACACACGCAGGAGTTCCTGAGCACCTACCATGCCCAACCAATGGGGTGCACGGCTGTGAACGCAGCTGATGCACCCTGATGTTCCAGAGCCAACCACGGCCATCACTGAGCCTTTCAGATGGAGTCTGTGCAAACCTCACCATGCTGTGTGCATAAAATCCACCCCGACTTCAAGCCTTCGTATACAAACAAGAGTGGAAAGTATCTTATCCACCCTTTTATTTTCTCTTTTTTTTTTTTTTTTTTTTTTTTGAGACAAGGTCTCGCTCTGTCACCGGGCTGGAGTGCAGTGGCGTGACCATAGCTCACTTTAGCCTGGACCTCCGGGGCTCAAGTGATCCTCCCACCTCAGCCTCCTGAAGTGCAGGGATTACAGGCGTGCGCCACCACGGCCTGGCCTTGTTATCTTGATCCATATTGAAACTGACAATAATTTGGATATGTTGAATTAATTGGAATCCTTTAGTAAATTAATATTACCTGTTCTTTTCCCTCTCTTGTTAAATGTGGCTGATAGAACTTTAAAATGAAATACACTGCTCATCTAGTATTTTCCTTTTTTTTTTTTTTTTTTTTTGAGACGGAGTCTTGCTCTGTCGCCCAGGCTGGAGTGCAGTGGCCGCGATCTCGGCTCCACTGCAAGCTCCGCTCCCGGAGTTCAAAGCATTCTCCTGGCTAACAGCCTGCCCGAGTAGGGGGACTTACAGGCGCCGCCGCCACCTCGCCCGGCTGTTTGTTTGTATGTTATTAGTAAGCAGAGGGATTTCACGTGTTAGAGCCCAGGATGGTCTCCCGATCTCCTGACTCCGTGCCTTCCCCACACCCGTCTCGGCCCCAAAGCTGGCTGGCGGATATAACAGGCTTGAGCCACCGCGCCCGGCCTGCCGTCATCTACTATTTCTATGGGACTAGCCGCCCTAACTGCGATAACGGAGTAGCCACGGCCCACAGATATAGAGCAACAAAGAGGCAGCCCTTTCAACTTTAATTAAACTGAAGTAAAACTCCAGGAGCAGGGACTCATGCTTGCAGTCCCCCAGCTACTTAGGAGGCTGAGGCAGGAGGATCGCTTGAACCCAGGAGTTTGAGTTCAACCTGGGCAACATAGGGAGACCCTGTCTCTAATAAATCAATTTTTAGGCCGGGTGCGGTGGCTCATGCCTGTAATCTCAGCATTTTGGGAGGCCGAGGCGAGAGCGGATCCAAGGGTCAGGAGACTTGAGACCATCCCTGGCTAACCCGGTGAAACCCCTCTCTACTAAATACAAAAATTCAGACCGGGCGACGGTGGCGGGCCCTGTCGGTCCAGCTCTTGTGGGAGGTGGCGAGGGAGAATGGCGTGAACCGGGAGGCCAGAGCTTGCAGGTGAGCCGGAGATCGGTGCCACTGCACCCCAGGGCCTGGGGCGGAACAGAGCCAAGCGACTCCAATCTCAAAAGAAATAATTTTTTTTTTTTTTCTTTTTTTTTTTTTTTGAGACGGAGTCTCTGCTCTGGCGCCCAGGCTGGAGTGCAATGGCCGATCTCAGCTCACTGCAAGCTCCGCCTCCGGGTTCACGCCATTTCTCCTGGCCTCAGCTCCCAAGTAGCTGGGACTACAGGCACCCCGCCCCGCCACCACGGCCGGCTGTTTTTTGTATTTTTTTAGTAGAGACGGGGTTTCACCGTGTTAGCCAGGATTGGTCGTCGACTCTCCTGACCTCGTGATCCGGCCCGTCCTCGGCCTCCAAAGTGCTGGGATTACAGCGCTTGAGCCACGCGCGCCCGCGGCCCTGAAATCAGTAGCTCTGAAT